ACTGAATTAGTGCCCTATCCGTATCAGGGTATCTGTCCTCGAAGTCATGTGCAATAGCAGCTTTGATGTCTTTCACTACTGTTGAGTCAGAGCCACTGTGCTTCATGGAGGTCAGGATTCTATGTTTTAATGGCAAGATCATTGAAATAGTTGGAATCTGCTCAGTGCTCATAAGGGTTGTCACAGTTTTCAAAGGTTTAAGAACCTGGACCACGTCCTCAGCTAGTTTAACATCATCATCAGACAGAGTGACGATGTCTTTAATGTTCTTCTTGACACTCTTGTCTGTTAATGCCGAGGAAAACAGCAGCCTGCTGCTCAAGGTAGCGCTCGAGTATGTCGTGGCTAGAGTTCCACCTAGTGGCCACATCCTGGACCAGCTTGTGTAAGGGCAGCTGTAGCATCACCTGTTTCTCCTTTAACACAGCTGCAGCTGTTGTGCTGCGGTGAAAAAACGTGACAACTTTCCTCACTCTGCCGAGGAGTCGGGACATCTGGTGAACGCCCATCCCTCTCTGCGCAGCCAGATTAACAGTGTGTGCAAAGCAGCATATATGTGAAAATCCGGCCGCTTCGACAGCATTGGCAATGTTTCTGGCGTTGTCTGTTATCACGGGAATGGGGACGTTTGATCTGCTGATCTTCCAATCTCTCATAGCCTCTTCAAGTATTCCCGATAAATGGTCGCTTGTATGGCTCTCATACACCGGGCGTGTTTGGAGGACGTGGTTTGCTATTTGCCAATTGCCCGTAATATAGTGTGCGGTTATGGTCACATAGCTGTCTGTGGCACGAGACGTCCATCCATCTGTTGTGATTGCAATGGATTCAGCAGTACTCATCTCTTTCTCCACTTTGGCCTTCGTTTTCTCTTTAAGTTTTGGTAGCACATTTTGCGAGAAATGCGCCCGGCTTGGTAATACATAACGGGGCTCGAGCACACCGAGTAAATACTTGAACCCCTCATTATCAACAACCGAAAATGGTTGCATATCCAGTGCCATAAAAACTGCAATTGCATTTGTAATTTTCTGTGCTCGATCTGAATTCGCTGGAAATTTTGCTTGGAAGAAAATAGGTAGTGTAGGCTGCTGGGTTGTTTTCTGTGCTGAAGTTAAATTAATTTCCGGATGGTGCCGTAGGATATGCATCTGCATGTTGGTTGTGTTGCCCGTCACTTGAGGAAGCGTCTTAAAGCACTTACGGCAAATTGTGCGGGACTTGTCAACTACACGATTACCATCCTTTATCTCCACCGGATAGCCGAAATGTTGCCATACTGCTGACTTAAATGAGGACGGAGGGTCCGCGATCTCTGGGTTTGTTGCCATGTTTCCTCATGTGCTTCAACTAGCACTAGCTGCTCAACTTTTGCAGGAAGGCGTCACGTGATTGGAAAGGTAGTCACGGTCACGGGGTGTGTCGCGAATCTCCCTTATCACACAGCGACACAGGATTCATTCTTTCATTCATTCATTTTCTTGTCGGCTTAGTCCCTTTATTAATCCGGGGTAGCCACAGTGAAAAAACCGCCAACTTATCCAGCAAGTTTTTACGCAGCAGATGCCCTTCCAGCCGCAACCCATCTCTGGGAAACATCCACACACACACTCATACACTACGGACAGTTTAGCCCAGGGATTTCCAAACTTTTTTATTCCGGGACCCATCTAGGCAAGTAATTAAATCTCAAGACCCACCATAATATTTTAATATGGAAAAATGGGTAATAACAATTGTATCCATTCAAAGCAGTTAAAAATATATGGTGTGGCTTTTTGGATTTTGCGATTTGATATGCACAAAATGAGGCTCAAAGTGCTTTTTGTGGGATGCTGGCTGTAACTGTGATCATTTTTTTGTTGAAAAAGATACTCTTCTTTTTTCAGAAGAGAAAATGATTAACCTTTGATCAAGCCCCTTGATTATGATCAAGCCCCGTAACATCGCAGTAAACTTCATCCACTGCTAGTGTAGTCATAAGAAACTAAATAGTTTTTTCATCTACTACTACAAGCTGGGAAAATGTCAGATAAATATGCCAATGCAATTAACATTATAGCTGAATTGATCTAATATTTACACATTTGCTTGAGGAAGGAATGATGGGGGTAGTTACATTACTATTACTGTTTTCCATAACATCTATGCCCTTCCATAACATTAGGTGACATTAAAACTAACAGATAGCACTATAGCTATTCATTCATTAGAAATCTGTCAACGTTGGGATGTAAAAATATGGGACAACAAATAGCTTCAAATGATTGAATACATAGCAAAAATTAGAAAATAAATGACAATAAAATAAAAAGTTTAGCCTATTAAAATCAATGGCCTATACAGAAATTAAATAAAGCTATAAAATCTATTTAACTTTTAATTGTATTTGCATATTGATTAAAGTTACTATAGTTATTTAGTGAAGAGCAGCAAATGAATCTCTCATTGTGTTTTGTTTGATAACAGAGGTGTTCATGTAAGAATGTAATGATCTACAATAAAGCATTCGACTACTTTAGTAACTGTTTGCTCATTTAAGAGAAAGTTAGTAGTGTTTAAAATAAAACACGCAGAACAGAGCAAAAAAAAAAAAATCACTTTTCCGAGTCACTTACTGAGAGCTCAACTGAGAGCGCGAGATCTAACGGCTAAACGCAGATTGCAAGGGCTCAAACGGATCAGTGCTCATAATTTAAAGTGAAAAAAAGTAAAAAACAGCTGTAAAACATAACCAGCTTTGTCTTATTGTAGGAAACACACTTTAGATATTTTAGGGTAAGAGGTTTTTGAGTTATTGTCGTCAATCGTACTGGTTTTGATTCACCGCAATCTAAAATTGGCTGCAGCCATGTGACGTTGCACGACCCACCTTTGTTCACTGTGACCCACAGTTTGACAACCCCTGATTTAGCCTACCAATTTCACCTGTACCACATGTCTTTGAACTGTGGGGGAAACCGAAGCACCCAAAGAAAACCCACACGAAGTCAGGGAGAACATGCAAACTCCACACAGAAATGCCAACTGAGCCGAGATTCGACCCAGCGACCTTCTTGCTGTTAGGCGACAGCACTACCTACTGCGCCACTGCCTCGCCTTTCATTCAGATATATTTTAATAATATGAATACTAAATTAAATCCATCTTGCAGCTCTGAGTGTGCTGCCTAGTTCTCCTAAACGCACATAAGCACTCATTGAAAGACAGGAATATGTTTGCATATGTCATCATTATAATAACTAATTACCAGGGCTATTGTGTTTAAAGAGGGTTTCCGTGGAGTCTTAAAATGTCTTAAATTCCAAAATCTAAATTTTAGGCCTTAAAAAGTCTTAAATTTACTGAAATATTGTGCTGTATGTCTTAAATCTTTTATAAACAAGTCTTCATTTTTCCTTCGGTCTTAAATTAAGGTTCATGTTTTTCTACCCAATCTGGCCCAAACCCACACAATCACCATCAATCCATCTCATTGTTTTTTACCCAGACATTTAAAAAGAATATATTTAGAGCACCAATCACAGTACCTTAAAACCATGATATTTTTATTCAAGCTTATCATATTGTCAGAATCTTATACTGGCCCATGCCTAATGCTGCTTGATGTTGCAAAGTCATATTTTCTTATTTTCTTATTTTTCTTTGTATGTATAGTCATGAACATGTATAGCCGTTTATTATTCCATGTCATTTCTCCAATAGGCAACTGAATTGTAAGTTTTAAATCAATAGCAAATGAGATCAGGTCACTATGACATGATTGAGAATTTTTGTATGTCGCTGTTTGTCTTTGTACTCCGTCTATTCTGAGAGCTGATGCTGAGTATTCTTAGGAATTTTCACACTTGAAATTGTTAACCCTGGGTGATTCTAACCCTGGATAAACAGAATCCTGGGTTATCTAAATACGTTTCACACTGCTCATGCTATGCCTTGGGTTATAAAATAATCATGGGTGTTCATTAACAGATAGTTCACATTCGCAAACCCCGAGTTAACATTATTATTTGTATATTTACGTTGTCACTGTCTCCGATTGGACAAAAAGCAGATAACCTTTTTTTAAATGGCATTTCTGCATCTTGTCGGGTATAAAATGTCATCATGTAGGTCTTTAGCTAAGCCTCAGGACATACACAAAGGCAAGAAAACAAAGACAAAAGTACAAATGAATGAAAACAAGTAGCAAAGTTTGTCATCTTCTCATCACTCCAGTTTACAGCAAACATGGCATTAAGCATTTGCACAAGTTCATTCATTCATTTTCCTTCGGCTTAGTCCCTTTATTCATCAGGGGTTGCCACAGTGGAATGAACCACCAACTTATCAAGCATATGTTTTAAACAGCGGATACCTGTCCAGCTGCAAAATAGTACCGGGAAATATTTGCATAAGTTATATACAATAATGCAAACTCAATAATATAAGCTGAATTATGCGCGCTTGCTATGAACATGCAGGATTTGTGTCAATCAGGTTTTCCAAGAAAGAGATGCACATGAGGGAACACAACATGAGTAATCTAGAGCGAGTGCGTTTGATTATTTGCATTTAAAGCCACAGGCACAAAAAGAGCTTGGTTTTTCTCTGACCTCCAAAATGAAATATTCTGCAAGGTGTATGATCTGATTTTGAGCTGAAACCTCAGACACATTCTGGAAACATTAAAGTCTTACTTTACATCTTATAAAAAAGGTTCATAATAGAAACCCTTTAAATGTATTTCTGACACAGAAATGAAAATAGCCTCACCATTTACTTTCCATTGTGCGGTTTTAAACCTTGATGAGTTTCTTGATTCTGTTGAACACAAAATAAGATATTGTGATAAAAACGCTGGCTTACTTTGTGTTCCAGAAGACAGGAAATGTTTAAAACCACATGATGGAGAGTAAATGGTTAGCTCATTTTAGTATTTAGGGTAAACATTGATTTCATGCTTGCCACTTTAAGCCTTTATACTAAAGTTCACTTTTTTGTTCTTTTTTTAAGACCTGATAGTGCTGAAAGAAGAGACACATCAATGGAATGAATTGGAAGATAAACAACAAGAAATAACGACTGATGAAAAACCCACACTGACTAAAAAGACTTTATCACGTGATAGATCTCGGAAATCCAAGTCTAGGTGTAATTTCAGCTGTAAACAGAGTAGAAAGAGTTTCTGTCAAAAGCCAAACCTTGATGTTCACACTAGAAAGAAACCTTTCACCTGCAAACAGTGTGGAAAAAGCTTCTATAATACAGGAAACTTAAAAGTGCACATGAGAATTCACACTGGAGAGAGGCCGTACATATGCCAACAGTGTGGAAAAAGCTTCTATTCTACAGGAAACTTGGCAGTGCACAGAAGAATTCACACTGGGGAGAGGCTCTACTCTTGCCCTCAGTGTGGAAAGAGTTGTAAGCAAAATGGCAACCTTGAAACCCACATGAGCACTCGCACTGGAGAGAGAAGCTTTATTTGCACACAGTGTGGGAAACGTTTTTCTCAAAAACAAAACCTTACCATCCACATGAGGATTTACACTGGAGAGAAACCTTACACATGCACTGAGTGTGGTAAAAGTTTTCCACATAAAGGCTCACTCAAACACCACATGATAAGTCACACCGGACAGAAGCCGTTTGCATGTGCTCATTGTGGAAGGAGCTTCACAACCAAAGCTAGCCTCATGAATCACATGAATGGTCACACTGGAACCACAGTGTTTACATGTGATCATTGTGGAAAGAGTATCACACGCAAAGACTCCATTAAGCAACACATGAAGACTCACTTAGGAGAGCGTTTTCGATGCAGTGAGTGTGGAAAGGGCTTTAAATATAAAAGAAGCCTCGTCAATCACATGAAGCTTCACAATGGAGAGCAAAAATAGGGAGGAGAAAATGTTTGGGGAGATGCAGAGAAAACTGTCCTACACCCTTAGATTGTGTTTTTGATCATTCACATTGTTTGATGAACAAACACAGATTTGCCTCCAATTTTGGGCTTTTGTCTGCAGTGTCACAAAACTTGGTGGTGAATAAAAATCCACCTAAACTCGGCCGGTGTGAACTTGCAATGACAGTGAGAGACTGATGCAGACTCAATAAAGCCCTGATCAGACTACACAATGCCATTTGCCTTTAACAACAGATCAGATTTGTGTCAGATTATGAGATTTTGACTTGAGCAAATCTTGATGTGTTGTGGGTAACAAATGAAGACTTTGGTTTCAAAACACTACACATTTATTTTGATGGACTGATTTTAGAAAATAAAAAAGTTTTCCTCATGAAGACAATTAAACTTTCTGTAGACAACTGGTTTCCTTTGAAGAAATGTTCATGTGAAAACTCCCACATTACTACAAATAAATCTGTGTATGGGAAACCCAGTATCTCTATTGTGAATGAGAATATGAGTGATTTGTTAGCTTACATGCTAATTCCAGGACTTAACAGACTACTGAAGGACTTCAGCTATTTGTAAATTCCAATTATTATTAATATGCAATACATATTGTACTGCTTATGTGGACTGATAGATTATATTGTATGCTGTCTGCATATATATATATATATATATATATATATATATATATATATATATATATATATATATATACTATTACTAACCAGCAATGATAGGTGAGCAAAATAAAAATTGAAAGAGGATACTTTTATTAGGCCTTTCATGAGTCTAATAATCTCAAAGTCACACTTTAAGAGAAGGTCCAAAAACCTGCATTTACAAATGAAGAATGTTTTGCAAAGCATAAAAGGTTGTTAACCAGGTAATGCTGTGTACGATTTGTTTTAGTTACATCAAATTTAACTTGTTTAATGTAAAAAGGGTTAACATGGATATTGACATGAGACATTCTGTATTAAGCATTATGTATTATGAGTCATGAGTAGGGCCAGACAGAATCTGTCGACGTTTTTTGCTATTTCTGCAAATAATTTTGATAAAAATCTGTTAATTTCTGCCGAAATATTTTGGGAGTATCATAACTAAATCCTAAATATGTGAAACAAAGAATAATATCTTTTAAACTTTTATTTAATGTTTAAAATGCAAATCCAATTAGATTCACTTTATCTGGTAAACTAAGCAAGTCTCTCGTATAATATTTCTACTAAAAGACAGAAAATATTACTGTACAAACTGCATTGTACATAAATCAGATAAACATCTTCATATTAGTCAATAATATTACTGTTATTAATTTAAAAAGTGAATAAATATATATTTACACAAATTTACTCAAATTAAATAGAATTAATGATGGGCTAAAAATCTGCAGAAAATCTGTGGGATTCTGCGCGTGACATTATGTATTATAAGTTATGTACATGAGTATATGCAGCTGTAGAAAATATGCTCAGTGTTTTCAATAACTTTCACAAAATTGGCAAGTTCTCCTCAGTATCAACTTTTAATCTCAGGAATTCTTTTGATGGATACACATGATTAATCATTTTAACTGAAGTTCTTTAATTTTGGGGAGAATTAAAAAAGAAATGCAACTTGTTCTTATTTTTCTAATTTCTGTGAATTAAAATCTTTTAAAATAAACGAGGTCTGAGCTGATTAGGATGAAGCCTTTAAATAAGAATATTTATTTAAAACTTATTATTACATTTTGTATCTCTAAAAATAAAGATGGAAGAGCGAACATTACAGAATAGTGTGAAAGAAAACCTCTGATCAATACTGTGATGTTTTTAGGAATAACATTAATATTTGTGTAAAAATCTTTAGGGTGACAAGCAAAACCCTGTTTAAAGAATGGGTTGAATAATTTAGCAAAAAGATCGTCATTTCAAGTGAAAAAAAAAGTCAAATGCGATTATAATCTATTTGAACAAGTTTCTGTTTAATTTTGATGAGATGACGAGGAATCTGGACCAGCACCAAAGCCACTTCCTCCACCTGCTCTGCTCCATCAATAGAACATCCTCCTGTTATCTCAGATGCCACTGAACTTTCACTATAGTTCCCACTATGATTTGGCCACAACCAGCACCAGCAGTACCACCAGCTCCACCGGAAACATGTACAGAGATGCTGAAGCACTGGGAGCCACTGGACAATGTACCACATGCCCCCTCAAGCTACTTAATACAGTGATCTTTTTTTTTTTTTTAGCTCTGCACAGTTGCCAGACATTCAGAATCGCTCCCCAGCAAACATCAGAAACAGGTGGATTCAACAAAGGTTTCCACCCATGTAAAAAAAAAAAAAAAATGTTGCACAACAAATAGTAGTAATAACTATAATATACAGCCACAGTAAAACGTTTGGAATACTTTATAATAAGCTTATTCTGCTCACTAAAATGTTATTGCATTTTTAAATAACTGTTATTTTATTAAATGTTTAAAATATAATTTATTCACATTTAAGCCTGAATTGTACGCATGATTAGTCTTCAGTGTGATGATTATTGAGGACCAAGAGTCCGAGGTTGCCACAGCGGGATGAACCGCCAACTTATCCAGCAAGTTTTTACACAGCAGATGCCCTTCCAGCCGCAACCCATCTCTGGAAAACACACACACATGCTCTCTCTCTTTCACACACACACGCGCTCTCTCTTTCACACATGCACACACACTCACACACAGGCACGCACGCATATGTCACACACACACACATGCACATAAGCTCTCTCTCACACACACACTCTCTTATGCTTATGGTTATTATTGTTCTGTATTTTAATGTACAAATGATCTATAGAAATGTCATTGAGCATAGAATGTCATAGAATTAAAAGTCAGGGAGTAGTCAGTTATTTATATATGCATTATTTATCTAACAATTGTCAACAGAACAGTAATGAAAATAGAGTAGAAAATGTAAAAATAATAAATTAGTTATTAATAATACAGTATTAACAATATAAATAAACAATGAAAATAAAATGTTAAATACAAACAGAAACCGACACAAAGGGGACTTAAAAGTCGAGGACCAGTCATTTATAAATGCAATATTTATTTAACAATGGTCAACAAAACAGTAATGAACATGGAATAAAATATCTAAAAAATTAAATGTGAAATATTAACAAAAAATACAAAAATTAACAAATTAAATAAAATGTTGAATAAATTTAGAAACCAACAAGTGAAATAGAATAAATTGAACTATTATGGTGCACCGTTGTGGAGGATAGTAGCATCTGTGTGCAAGTCCAATATAAACTAAGGATAGCTGATGTTGTGCTGCATCTTCTTTTGTTTAAAAGTAACTGTGTAGTTACAAATACAGGGAAAATCTGTTTGCTAATTATACATACATGAACACATTAGTGCATTGAATGACTACGTTTTTGTGAGCTAAACTAGGTTTTTGGGAACTAAGCATTGTATCAGTTGATAAAATATGGTTATTTTCTGTAAATTAAAACAGTTATATAACACTTCCGTATTTTTACAGAAAATTCCTGGCAACCACTGCCGGTATTTTTCAGTAAATTTAAAGGATTTTTTTAGCAGTGTAAATAAATTAAAGTTAATTATAAATGTTATGTTGATTGAACTAAACAACATTACCTTACCTTTATGTAACTAGCTTAAGTTTACTCAAATGAATATTCTTTCTTTAAGGTAACTTAACTTGGTTACGTGGAACCTGTTGACATAAAAAAGTTAAAGCCAACATATCATTTTTTTGAGTGCAAGGTCCTCTGTCCACGAGACTGCAATGGGCATTTCTCAATCTGAAAAAAATCATGAAAAATAGAATAAATAATTTTAACTCAATGACTCCTTTAATAAAGCACAAAATAGCTCTGTAAATTAATTTAACACTGTTTCTAGAATGTGTGTAATATTTATCTAATATGTAATTGTACAGTTTGTATCTCCAAAAAACAAAAAGAAAAAGATAGAGGTAAAGTTGGTTTTATATTCGCACGTTCGTTCATTTAGAAGTCTCTATATTGTTCACCATATTACTTTGAATATTCGATCGGAATTAGCATGCAAGTATGATTTGAAAACAACATTAACACTATCTAATTCACTGTGAACAATGCTGTACTTTGATAATCATTAATCATTGTCTGCTAATATGATTTTCCTATTTAGAATTTGCAAAGAATTTTTTTCTGAAATGATATTATTTAGGAGAATGTCTGAATATCCGAATATAAAACCAACTTTACCTCTATAAGAAAAAAAAATAAGAGGAACTGGACAGGAACATTTCAGGCTTTAAAACCACATGATGTATTGTACATTCATAATCCATTCCCCCACCTTTTAAAATCTCTCTCATAAACGGTCAAACTATAGTAAATTATTCGACGTAAAACTCAAAATACATGCATTTTAAAACACATTATTATTTAAAAACAAGTATGACATGTTTTACATAGATACTGTACTGAATGTACTGAAGCCTAACAAGTTAAGCAAATTTCAACAAACATTATATCATGTAAACGAAATACACACCCTTTGATAAATCTCATGCCACTTTTTTTATTGAGGAGCTGGCCTGTTCCTGTTGCCCTCATCTGATGGCCAAACTCCTGTGCTGGCAAACTTTTTCAGACGTGAAATCCAGTCAGCGTCTGACATGGCTTTGTGGAATTTTTCAGACATTTTTTCTCCTATAAATTAAACGGTTTTAGATTAAAGTATCCAAATTTGAAATACAACACACTAAAACATTAATACGTGCAATTATGTAGATTTTCTTATCTTTTTTAAGAAATCATTATCAGAAAAAAAATCCTGAACTTTAAACAAAACGATGCTGTGCTCTGTCGAATGATGCTGTTTGTCGAAAATCACTGAAGGTCAAGGAACTTTTTTGACCTCTGACCCGCCTCCAGATGACCCTGTTACTCCTTCGTGTACCTTCGGCTAAGTTCGGAAAATTGATTGACATCCGACTAACCTGTTTGACTGCACACCTAGCGGTGAATCTTGGAACGGTTCCTTCCCCAGCT